CAGCACACCCGGGCCGCCTGTCGCACCACATGGCCGGGGCAGGGTGTTTCGGCACGGGGCTGCCGGGCGCGCGAGCGACTTCCTTACTGCTCGGCAATGGGGAAGCTCGCCTTTTAAAGTGCACCCATTCGCCCCCACCTCCGAAGGAGGCACCCGGACCCAACGGAAAGGCAGCGAGAAGTGAAGCTGTGCCCCGGGGGCCAATGAGCAGGGCGAGCCGCCCCGGCGGGAGGAAATGATGCCGGCCGGCCGATGTTCTTCGATTCAGTTCCTCGAGGGAGTCCCGGCGGGTCCAGCCCGCAGTCCCACAGCTCGTCCTAGATCCGGATGCGCCAGCACCACCGGACCCCCACGATCTGGCTTCGTGGGAAAGGGGCGCATTGAGTCACCCTGGTTTCACCACTTGGCACCCAATGGGCTGCTTGAACCAAAAATGGCCCTGGCTGCCCCAAAACCCAACCACAAAAGAGGGCAGGGTCAGTGGCAGTAGCAGGGCTGACACCTGGGGACAGGGACATCAGCCATGTGGGGACACCCGTGTCCCATTGTGGGGCCTTCACATCCCAAGTCCAGCAGTGAGAGGTGAAAATCCAGCCTGGGAAGGAGGGAGGTGGAAGCCCAGGAAGCGTGGAGCATCCCGCCATGGCCAGGGACCGCACACAGCCTCAGCACCGGGCGCTGCTCTGTCCATCTGTCTGTCTGCTCACACCTGCCCAACCCTCCGGGTGACAACTTTGGGTGCTGGCCAAGTGGGGGACATGGGGCAGCACAGCTCAGCCCCTCTGCCCAGCAGCACCCATGGGTGCCCCCAAGGAGGGAACGCAACCGCCCCATGCCAAACAGCCATGCCGGGAGCTGCCCGGGACCCTCAGTGTTGCCCAAGGACGCGGGGGGCCAAGGGCAGCAGAAGCCAGTGCAGGCAGTGGTGCAGGCAGCGGCGGAGGGAGGGCGGCCCCCGCACTTGTGCAACACCACCGTGGGAGAGCCCAGATTCCACCGCCCCGGCTGTCATTGCCACCGGGACCAGCACAGCCTCAGCGCTGCTGGCGGCGGCCGGTGTGAAGCCCCTCGCACCCCTCAGCTCCCCTTTCCTGGCGGATGGAGCCTGGCACCCATGGGGGCTTTTTGGGATATGTTGCAATCCGATTGACTTTAGCGACCATCAGAAGTTGCCAGCGCAAGCAGAGGGAGCCGCCCCATGCTGCATTTGTACGTTCACGGCACGGAGGGACAGCCCAGAAATAACCTCTCCTCCAGCGTGGCCATGATTCATGTTTTCTTTTCCCAAAATGTCCCCTCCCCAGCCACCCCGCGACCTGCAGGACTCCCTGCTGCAGAAGTGGGGCCGGCACTGCTTCCTCCACCAGCTGCCTCCTCCTCCTCCTCAGGGCATCCCCCGGCGGAGGCGGTGGCTGGGCTGGGTTTGGTGGGGCCGGGGCAGGCAAGGCTGTGCCCAGGGCAGCCCTGGAGGAGCCAGGGGAACATCCCTCTCTCTCTCTGCTTGACTGAGGCAGTTTGTCTGTCTGTCCATCTATCTAACCAGACAGGCTCTTAGCCATCTGTCCAACCATCTACCTGTCCGTCCCTCCATCCATCCACCTATCTAGCCACCTGTCCATCCATCCATCCATATGATGAACCAATCATCCATCCACCCATCCATCTGTATGTACATGCACCCACCTGCCCATCCATCCATCCACTTGTACATCCATCTATCTGTCTATCCATCCCTCCACCCACCTCTCCATCTATCCATCTGTCCATCCATCCATCTGTCTGCCCATCCATCCATCTCTTCATCCATCCATTCATCTCATCATCCATCCATCTCATCATCCATTCATCCATCCATCCATGCCTCCATCCATCCATGCCTTCCTCCCTCCCTCCCTGACCCCATGGGCCCCCCGGCGCCTGCGATGCCACAACAGGACCTCTGGGCACCCTGGCCAGGTGGGCAGAGCTCACCCCCCCCTCAGGCCCCCACAGCCAGGGGTGGCCCTGTCCCCTCCGCATGGCACAGTCACCTCCCCAGGCTCCACACAGGGTCCCTGGCAGGCCGGGAGGAGGAAAGCGGGTGGCAGGGGACTGTGCAATACCCAACAGGAACAAAAATAGCACCGGTGACCGCATGGGCCGGCTGCAATTTCTTCATCACTTTGGCGCACGTCACCAGCATCTCATGACTCTGGACAAAAGACCGAGACAGGAAAGAGAGCGCCCAGGAGGTTGCAGAAACCCGATGGCTTGCAAGCGTGCAGGAGCTGACGCAGGGCGAACACGGCCGGCACCCGGGCACGCTCCTGCTTGGTGCATGGGAGGGGGGGGAGGGGCTGCTTTTTGGGGACAGGACAGGAGCAGAGCTGCCCTCTCCCACCAGCCTGAGCTGCCCATGCCAGGGGAAAAGACGCCAGAGGGGTTTCTGCCGTGCTCGTGCTCCCACCAAGTCTCACCCCTTGGCCAGGCACTGTCCCTGGGGGCACCCAGGGGCTGGGTGTCCCACCCCCACAGGCGCTGCTGCACAGCCCCAGCCCCCAAGGGTGTCATAGGAGCCCCCAGGCACCCCAGGAGGGCACAGCCCCAACCCCACATTGCCAGGGGGTGCCATGCGGCCAGCAACAGGAGAGGACAGGGGTAGGCGGTGATGGTGTGGCAGGGGCATCCCCAGGCCTGGGCTCCAGACCCGGCCTTCGTGCCTCAATTTCCCTGAGACTGCAAGAGCTGGCCCAGCACAGGGCAGGGCAGAAGTGGGGGAGTGGAGCCTGTGCCTCAGTTTCCCCAGTGCCCATCATTTGCTGGGGGCTGCAGCCTTCACCCCTTTTTTCACCCCAAAATATGCAGCAGGCAAGCTGGCCCCATCCTGGTCACCTTAGGGTGGGGACACGGGGAAGGCTACGTCACCCTGTCACATCCCAGCTGCTCCCATGCCACCCAGTGCCACCACCCTGGGGACCAGCTCTGGAGCCTCCCCTGCCCCAGCACCACAGGCTACATAGAAATAAAAATAATAGGACTTTTATTGACTTATTAGAAACTATGTGAAAATATAGCTTGGGAAGAGCTGGGGGGTCACTGTTGTCCCCCCAGGATATGTGACAGCCCAGGCAGCGGCCCAGGGCCACCCCCAAGGGGACACAAGGCTGAACCACAGCCCCTCCCATCTCTGCCTCACAGATTTTGGGGGTGCCAGGGGGCACCCTAGCTCTGGGGATGCTTTCAAAGCCCCCCATGGGGCTGGTCCAGGGCTGCCCCAGAGCATCATGGCCCCCCCCATAGGCCCAGGAGACCACACCTGGGGACACCTACAGGGCGTGGGGACACGTCCTGCCAGCATGGGACTGTCACCCCCAGCACCATGGTGGCACCTCACTGCTCTCTGCCACATCCCCCTGCCGGGGACCCCCGCTGTCCTCCTGAGCCCCCCAGCCTGGGGGCAGAGTATGGGCGGGTGCTGCCCTTGGGCCTCACCTGCGGGGTGGGGTGGCAGGGTGGGCACTGCTCCCCCTCCCACAGGACACTGGCCCGCTGCCACCAGGCCACCACGTCCCCACATCCCCAGCAAGCAGGGAGTGACGCTGCGCCTGGCTCTACCCTGCACCATGGTGGGGGGGAGCTTTAAAAACAAAAGATAACTAATATGGGGGGGCAGGGGGAAGCCCACCGCGGCACCGTGCTGGGCCACCCGGCATGGGGACAGCTGGCCACTATCTGCCGCTCTCCTGGCGCTGCTGCAGCAGCTGGATGACCTCAGTGATGCCCTCCTCAGGGACCTGCCGGGGCAGGGGACAGAGCGGGTGTCAGCCCTGGGGGACACCCCCAGGGTTGGGGGGGGTGGGGGTGTCCCCAGGGAGGCGTGAGGGCTCACCAAGGCGTGATCAAAGTTGAAGGTGCTGATGTAATACGCCGATATGTCGGCGGTGGCCAGTGGCTCAGCAATCTGCGCCACGATGCCGCACTCATGCCACTGCAGCCACGCTCACCAAAGCCCAGGGGCTGCCCGCCGATCCGCACCATCCGCCACAGCTCCCCTGTTGAGCTGGTCAGCAGCAGGTCACTGGGGAACCTGAGAGAGGGGGGTGCTGAGCGTAACCACCCCTCCCAGAGCCCCCAAGGCCCAGGGATGGACAGACCGACAAACAGATGGACAGCTCGCCCTGTGGACGGCACCTACCGCTTCTGGGTCTCAGCATCCATCACAATGGAGATGTACCCCTCAATGAGGGAGAAGGCAAAGAAGGTGATGGAGTCGAGGTCCTGGCTGCCAGCACCGTCCTCCCTCGGGGGGCTGCAGAGCAGAGGTGGGGGGTGGAGGGAGAGAGCTGCAGAGAGGGGTCATGACCCCCAAAACTGGGAGGAGGAGGAGGGCTTGGTGGTGGCACTGAGCATCTTGGAGCATTGTGTTGGGATGCTGCGGGGTGAGCAGGCGGGTGGGGAGGAGAGCAGGTGCTACCCACAGGGTCTGCAGCTCGGGCAGTTGATGGCTTGGGGGGGCAGCGGGTGTTGGCCATGCACAGGACAGGGGTGACACCAGGTTTTGGGCCACTCCCAAAGCACCATGAAGTGCCTCCAGAGCAGGAAGGTCCTGCCAGAAGGGACCTCATCCCAGGGGACATGGGATGTCCTGGCCAGGAGCATCCCCGCACCCCAGCGCTGTTCCCACTGGCCTTTTGCAACCCACCCACTTCTGTTTCCCCCCTCCCTGGGCTTTGCTGCAGTGGGGGCTTGGTCCCCAGGTCACCTCAGGGCTCCCACATCCCATGGTGGCAGTGGCACCCATGGCACCCATGTGGCTACAGCCCCCCGGCACACTCGAGAGGGCAAAACCAGTTTGCAAAACACACCCAGAACTTGAAATGCCACTGGGAGAAATGGGGGGGGAGGGGGGTGTAGAACATGGCACTGTGGTTGAGGTGGCACCGGGCAAGAGGCCACAGCCGTGTCCCCGTCCCCGGGACCCACCTGTGGGAGTAGAAGAGGACGTCGATGAGCATGGTGGCAATGGCGGGCAGGGTGTCGGGGGCCACAGTCAGGACGCAGAAGCGGGTCTGGGGGCTCTGCACGGGGTGCAGCGTGGGGCTGGCGGCTGGAGGGGGAGAGACGCACCCATCAGGCTTGGGGACAGCTTGGGGACAGTACAGCAGTGCCACCCCGTGGCCACCAGCCACACCAGCCACAGCCTGGCAGCCCTCAGGGTGCAGAGGTACGGAGCAGTGGGAGCTGGAGCATCCCTGCGGGTAAATGGGTGGCCCTGGGGGACTGGGTGGCCCTGGGGGGACAGACGGATGGACACACAGCACTTGGTGTCACTCACCCGGCTTGGGCTTGAGGAAGCCATTGCTTGCATCGTCGCAGGTGACGGGGACGCACTCACCACTTTCCTCCTTGTAGATGTCGAACTCCCCTGCCAGTGTGTGGATCACCACTGGCAGGTCTCGCTCCCGCACCTGGCCAGGGGTGCAGGATCAGGCCCGGCACCTCCACCCCTCCCCACAGCATCCCCAAACACCAGCCGGCGACAAGCAGGGTCCTCACCCAGCTCCACTGGAGCCAACGCCCCGGTGGCACCAGGCACCGCTGTCCCCACCATCGCCCAGCACTCACCAGGATGAAGTCAGTCTGGTAGGTGGAGAGCATCAGCACCGAGACGTGGTGCTCAGCCAGTGGCGCGATGACCGACCTGGCGATCTTGGTGACGCCGGTGGCCTGGCAGCCGGCGGGTGCCCGGCCATTGGAGACGACGCTGAGCACCAGCCACGTCGAATCTGCCACCTGCATGAACTCAGAGGGCGGCAGCTCTGCCAGGGGTAAGGGGAGAGAAGAATCGTGTCAGGGCAGGATCAGCCCCAGGCACGGGGCTGGAGATGCTGTTTTGGGGGTGCAGACCAGCCCCATCCACAAGTGGAATGAGCTAGACATGGCTCAGCTGCTCCCAGCGCTGAGATGGCGTCTGAATTTGGCCGCAGGGATGAGTGGGGCCAAGGCTACGACCCCCCCCAAGCCCAGGATGCGTCTCTCCTCCCTGTGCTGGCGCCCCACGCTGGGTGCGAGGGAGTGTTGGGGTGCACTGTACCCCAAAACCAGCAGCACCAGGGCCCTGGGGCTGCCTGGCTCATCCCCTGCCCCCCAGGAGCCCCCAGCCCAGCACCAGGGATGCTCAGGTGGGTATGGGGAAATGACACGGGGCAGTGGAGGGGATGAGGGAAGGGCCACCTTGCTGTCCCAGGGGTGCCAGCGCCTCGTGCCAGCCTGGGGGCCAGGGCAGTCTCCTAAAAAGCTGCTTTTGTGGGCAGGGAGGGATTGGGGGGGACGGGGTCTGAGCTCGTGTGCTCCCCACTGCACTTACCATCCCACCCCGGAGAGGGGCTGGTGCTGCCGGGGTGCCCCAGGTCTCAGCCTGGCACCCCCCTCCCCACCCCACAGCACTCCCAGGAAGGGGCAGGGTAGGGTGGGCACCCAGGAGGTCTCCAAACCGCTCCCCCCACCCAGCAGAGGTGGGACGCAGCACCCACACCCCCACACAAGCACCCAGCCCTCCAGTGGGCACCTGGCATCCCAGCACAGCTGAGAAGGCAAATTCATCACACCAGTGGCAGAGGGGAGGTCGCCTCAGCAAAGGGGTCTGGCACCCACAGGGGGGGAGGACCCCATCATGGGACAGGCTCTGCACCCCGCTCCCAAACCACGGCTCGGGGCAGGGCGGGAGCGGGGCCGGATCCAGGGGCCTTGGCGGGTGTTCCCAGCGCCTGTTCCTGTGCAGGAAGCACCAGAGCGGCCTGGGCTCCGGCCCAGGACCGAGCGTTGGGGCTGGGAGGGGACACTCGGGGACATAGGGACCTGTCCCAGCGCTCGCAGCTTAATCGCTTTTCAACACCACCCTGGGTGAGGCCATGAGTGCGCAGGGGGACCCCCCTCTCCCTGTGCCACCCAGCCCAGGGCTGAATCCGGACCCCCAAAGGAGGAGGGGGGATGCAGCTCTCCTCCGCTGGGGTCCCCTCCCTAGCCCCGCAGCGGGGGGACGCTGGCAGCCCCCCAGCCCCAGGGGGGGCACACGGCACAGCAGGGCTGCCAGCCCGCAGGACCATTGTTCGGCACTTCCCGCCCTCCCCTCGGGATTGAGGAATATTTGTCCGCAGGCCCCAAAATAAAACAATATGTGGGGAAGGGCTCTGCCTCTGCGGGGGGGAGAGCCCAGCCCCACAGCCCCTTCCCCCAGCAAAGGGCCAGGGAAGGAGCTGGGAGCTGGATCCGGCCAGTGAATGCCCCACAGCCAGAGCGCTGACCCTTGCTCCTTGGGGCACATCCAAGGTGATAAAGCTGCAGCTGGCTTCTGTGGTCTCGGCAGGAAGGTTTGGGCGTGGGAAGCCAGGCCAGGATCCAGCCCCTCTGGCACAGCCCGTTGGGCCGGTACCCCTGGCAGGACCAGTGGTGAGGCTGATGGGTCACCAGCAGTAGGGACATCATCAAACGACACCTCCTGGGGCAGGGGACCGGCTTGGAAGGGTTCAACCCTTCCTCAAGACGCCCCAAAACCTGGTCCCTGCTGCCAGGCAGGGCCCCAAGCAGGGCTCACCCCTGCCAGCCTGGGCAGGAGCAGCATCGGCCGAGCTCTGCCGAAGCACCAGCCAGCCCTGGCCCTTTCTGGGCAGGGGGACAAGGTGAAAGCAGCCAAGGGGGGGTGGCAGGAGGCCTGGCGACAGCAGCACCCTGTGCAGGCAGGGGGGGCAGGGTGCTGCCCACAGGCACCCCAGGAGACCCCTGCCCAGAGCCGCTGGGATTTTGAGCAGCACCAGGCTCCCCACAGACCGTCCCCATCAGTTTCCCAGCCTGGTCCCGCAGCCCAGGAGGGGGTTGTTAGGGCAAAGGCAGCCACGCTGGGAGAGCCTCAGCCGGGCAAGCTGGTACATCCCCAGCGCAGGCGCTGAGGGCATAGGAGCTCCGCAGCTGGGAGCCCCGGGGATGGGCACGTACCGAGGGAGCCTTGCTACAAGTCAGGACTCGCTCCCTGTGGCCCAGGCCTAGAGCATCACTGCGCTCAGCCGGGCTGAGAACGTGCACAACTCACATCTGCAGTGCCAGCCCAGCCCGCAGGGGACAGGGCAGCCGTGGCCGGGGCTGTGAGGTACCTTTGAAGCCCTCCTCATCCAGCATGATGGTGTAGTCCTCGGGGGTCTCCGTCAGGCTGAAGAACTTGCACCTGAAGAAGAAACCGGTGCTACCGACCCAGCTGGAGCGGTACCGAGCACCGGAGGCGGGGCGTA